ACTACTCACTGCCAAGCCAAAGGACAGGGAAAACATGAGGAATCCACATTCAGGAGTGGTTTGGTGCTAACAAATCTAGAAAAATATGCCCAAAACAAGGTCATTTGAACTCTGGATGCTGTTAAAAGGATTCGTAAGTCCATAGGAGGATTAAAAATTTCCCAGTACACTCTAGACGTAGTTATTGCTGCAGCTTGATTTGTATAGTGCAAGGGTCTAATTTTGTGGTTTCTGTTGCTATTTCTCTTTCAACTTGAAGATGACCATAAGGCATCCATGTGCAGATAATGCCCCACTGTAGTGGTGAAAGTGTGGGACAAATACTTTATTAATTCAACCACCGAGAAGTAAGGATTTTGATTTGGGGTTTTCTTTGTTTTGTTTCGTCCCTTTGGGGGAGGAAAAAAACAGAAGTTTGGTTTAATGTCAGTGCACCTCCATGGTGTCCTACTTTAAATCTTGGGTCTTGATGATATATAATTTTCTGACCAACCATTGTTGCAGTTTTTGAGTTTCAATATTTCCATTCAGGATGTTTCAAAGTAACATCTTAAGAAAGCACAGTATAGAACGTGCCCTTCCTCTGAATAGTTCTAGTTATGGACACATAAAAAATCGCATGTGGATATAATTAATGATGCAAATATTCAAATAATGAGAAGTCAATTGAATTTATAAATAAAATTTTTGGAGAATGAAGGCAAGGAAACTTTCTCAAACATGTTTGAGGCTGTTATTACCTCTAGTTAACCACCCCCCACCGACTGCCTCTTTTCTTGATCCTGTCTTTAAGTACCTGAATCCTGAACATTTTTCAAGTCTATTCTTTGTTCCTCTGATTTCTATAGTACACTGTAGCTAAAAAAAAGTAAATTATCTTTGATAGCTACAATAATCACCCAAAGGAAGACAGTTCTGAGTTTTGTTTCTTACAGTCTGATTTTGTATTGTACTTGAACATTTAAATGCTTCTGTAAAATGAACACTTTCAAACCTGACTCTTGACCTTCCTCACAGAACCAGGTCACCTTCTGGGCCTCCTCACATCTGATTTTTGTAATCCTCATTTTCCACGTTGGCTGGGTTCCATCTACATACAACTTTTGGTTCCTCCATTTTTTTCTCTTCCCCCTGGATATTCTCATGTGAGATAAATGAAACAAAATACGTAAAGCACAAAATATGTGATACCTGGAACAGTTAACAAGTGACAGTTCACTTTTTCATCCATCTCTCCTTCCAGATCCAGGCATTAGAGCAACTCCATGTTCTTCTCACTGGGCCCCAGTGTGTCCTTGTCTTCTTTTGACAGTGTACAACATTACCACAGGCATTCTCTAAAATACTCCCACTCACAAACCTTAGGTGTAATCCCTTGAAGTGGGATGATTTGTGTTCCCACAAACGTTATGTCCAAGTCTTAATCCCTAGTGCCTGTGAATGTGACAGGTCTTTAGAAAAAGGGTCTTTGCAGATGTGATTAAGTTAAGGAACTCAAGATGAGATCATCCTGGATTTAGGGTGGTTCCTAAATTCAATGACAGGTGTCTTTTTAAGAAGAAGGAAGACACAGAGACACAGAGAGGGGAAGTCCATCTGAAAATGAAGACAGAGATTGGAGTGATACGTCTTCAGACTAAGCAAGGGCTGATTGCAGCCACCAGAAGCTAGGGGAAAGGGAAGAACTGAAATCTCCCTCAGAGCCTCTGGAACGAACTAACCCTGCCAACACTTTGATTTTGGACTTCTGGCCTCCAGATATGCTAGAGAATAAATTTCTGTTGTTTCAAGCCACCAAATTTGTGAAAATTTTTTGCAGCAGGCCCAGAAAACTAATATATCCCTTTAGCCTATTCTTTAAGGTATTTCTTAATCTGGATTTAACCTACCCTCCAAGCTTGTTTCTTACTACTACCCTTTACAACTTCCTGTCTCCCTTGATCATGTGTACATTTTACCTTTTTGAATGTGATCTCTTTCCTTTCTCTAAAACTCATTATGTCTTCTCTACTTGTTCAAATCCTTATCATGAAATAAAAGGCATACCCTAGTCCAAAGTGGTTTATTTTTTTTTTCTATTCTGAATTCTTGTATCACATGCATGACATTGAATCATGTTTTGTTTAAACAGCATTTGTTTTCCTTTTCACATATGTGAGTATCTTCTTGAGGGCAGGATGATTTTTGCAACATAGAAGATGTTGAATAAGTGAATGAAGTCAGCAAGTACTGATAGAGAATTCAGGTGTAATGGGGTGAAATATGTGCCTCCCAAATCCATATGCTGAAGCCCGATTCTCCAATACCTCAGAATGTGACTGTATTTGGACACAGGGCCTTTAAAAAAGTAATTAAGGATAAATGAGGTTATAGGGGTGGGCCCTAATCCAATCTGACAGGTGTCCTTATAAGAAGAGGAGATTAGGACACATAGGGACAGACACCAGGGGTGCACATGCACAAAGGAATGACATTTCATGTGAAGAGGCAGTTCTCAGAAGAAACCAGTCTTGCCAGAATCTTGATCTTGGATTTCCACCTTTCAGAACTCTGAGAAATTAAATTTCTGTTGTTTAAGCCATCTAATCTGTGGCACTTTGTCATGGAAGCCCTAGCAAACTAACACGGTGGATAAAAGACTAAAAATTTAAAAAAATAAATAAAAGGGGGACAAAACTAGTATATTTTCTACCTGAATTGATGACACTATCTTCTTTCAAGTCCCAGCCATATTCCTAAAATGGCAGACTATTTGACAGAGCCCTTAGTAAAGCCCACTGACTTCTGGGGTTATTTTGAAAGTAGAATCATTGAAGTATGAAGTTCAAAGAGATCTGAGAGTGGAACTGGGATCGTGTCTCCACTACTCTTCATCTTTCTCTGGAATCAAACTATTGTCTACCCTAAAGTCAGGAAGTTAATTGACATTCTTATGAGTTAGTCTGCTAATCTAAAATTTTGTAATATTCAGTCATGGATCTTAAGCATATGCATTTTCTTGGATTGGTTATAGAGTATAGGGATTAGTGGATCCATTGGGTAATTACCCGGTAGAGATTAGGACAACCCTGGTTATTTATTGATTTATTCAAGTATTTTTGGGCCAAGATTAGATTAGTGTGTGCTTTTTCTCTTCCTCATTCTTTTGCCATCCCATAACTTCCATTGCTTACAGAGAAAAAAAAAATTTGGAATCTTGGTCTCCCTTCTTGGGAAGTAATTTTTAGAGGCTCATTGGCAGAATGCAGTATGTCCAGAGGAAGACGTCCAAAATGGTAAGGACCCTACACACTGAGTCACCTGAAGGTGGGTGAAGAACCTGACATTTGGTCAGAAATATATGGAGGTACCTCTATTGAATGAAGGTAGCAGCTTTTTCTCTGTAACCCCATGGGTATCTTTCTGAGATAGTCCATTCTGAGATGGGTGTACTTTGAATTTTGTTAAAATGTATTAAGCACCTATCTCAATGATCTTAAAATATATATGATAATAAGCTGTCTGGTTTCCACCTATTAACCGTATGTCTGTCTAGGAAAGACTAGGAAGAATATGAGCTGTTTAATTAGGGGTGCTTGTTATCATTAATGAACAACAAGAAGTAGTTTGTAAAGTTTTTTGAGATAGTCACCAAAATTTCAGAAAAGTACAGCCTCTGAGGTAAAGCTACAGTTAAATGAGAGTAGCTATATTGTGCTTTGCATACATTATATGGTTTGGTCCTTATAACATGTTGGCAGGGTTGGCATTATTATCCCCATTTTCCAGATGAGAAAATTAGGTACAAAGAGCTTTAGTAACATCCCGAGCTCATAGAGCACTGGACATCTAAACATTGGGTTGTATGTACTATAAAAGTCACATGTCCCTCTCCCCAAATAATGAAAGACCATAGAAGGAATGAAAGAAGTAGGCTTCATAATGTATCTTTTCTCCTAATCACAGATGAGTTTACTTTTATCCATTTTGCCCAAACTGTAAAATATCATTTTGGTCACCATCAATATTACACAGACCTGTTGTTCAAATATTCTCAGCTTTTTCAATAAAATGAGAAGAAACCATAATGTTAAAACAGATATATGTGCATTAAGAAAAAACTACCATGTGATTTTAGATGTGGAAGCTAACTCCTAAACATTAATTATTATTTTCAAACTTAAGGGCTTAGGATGTTTAAAATGCTGTATATTCATGTGGATTTCTCTGGGATATTGGAGCATATATGAGATATGTTTGCATATATCTAATTTATATGTGTGTATTTATTTTAGGTTATGTGTATACTGAGAACAGTGTGTATACAGTGTATGACATTTACTTTTCTTCCATTTAAGAGATCTTAATCCCCATTATTATTAACTATGCATAAAAATCTAAGTGGCAGATATAACATATCATATAGGTGTGACTACAACTCCTCTTTAGGAATAGCTATTCTTTGCTTTTATGATGTTTGTTTGGAAAAGAGAAGAGTTAGCAAAAATAAAAGCATTCCTCAGCCCCTCTTCCCTAAAACATGTTCCATCCAATCTCCAGAACAGGCTGGAATATCCTTCTCTGCCCCCACTCCGTCACCCTCTCAATGCAGTGGGAAAGGCAGTGGGTAATTGGGTCCAGATTGGAGGTGTTTAAATATTCATGAGGCTGGCAGGGGACTGGGAGGGGGTGACTGCTTAGAATGGGGGTAGGAGCTGGGGGAAGTGATTAGTCATTGAAAACTAGTGCATAATTCTGAGAAAGAAACAGAGAAGAAGAAAAAGATAGATAGAAATTAGGGAGGGAGAGAAAAGAGTGGAAGAGAGGAAATAGGGGAGAGAGAGAGGAGAGAGAGAGAGAGAGGGAGAGAATGTGTGATGAGCAATAGCTGTGGACCTTACAGTTGCTGCTAACTGCCCTGGTGTGTGTGTGTGTGTCTGTGTGTGTGTGTGTCTGTGTGTGTCTGTGTGTGTGTGTGTGTGTGAGTGTGTGAGGGAGAGAGAGAGGTAGGGAGAGAGAGAGCGCGCTAGCGCGAGAGAGCGAGTGAGCAAGCGAGCAGAAAAGAGGTGGAGGGGGGGGGAATAAGAAAGAGAGAGGAGGAAAGGAGAGAAGGCAGGAAGAAGGCAAGGAAGGATACAACCATGCTGTGCTGTATGAGAAGAACCAAACAGGTAGAGCTAAAGATTTTTACTTCTTGCTGCTGTGAAATTACCAGAGTACGATATTTCCCTGTAAAGGCAGGGGAAAAAAAAATATTTTAACTGCTTCTGCTCTGGCCATGGTGCTCGCGTTTCCTTAGCATATGGTAACTGATGGTTGCTTCCCGGCTTTTATTCTTTTTTGTCTTTCATGCTCTGGTTTTGGAATGCTGCTACTAATTAGGGTGAGGGTAGGAAAAATACGCCTGTTTGACTAGAAACATTTTTTTTTTTTTTTTTGCCTATTAGTAAATGCTCAGCATTTTAGGTCTCTGGTTTTGAGGGTGTGGATGTTGAAGGGAGTGTGGGGAAGATGTGGGCTCTACCTACAAGATGGGGAGGCGATCCTTTATATTATTTGCCAAAAGCTGGGTTAAGGAAATAATATTAAGGGCTGAATATTGCCTGTTCTGTGGTACAATTTTCTCACATGTGCTGCAGAAGATGCTCTATTTCGTACATGCATGTGCTCCAAAGGGGGGCAGGTATTTATGGAAAAACATGTGAAGCTTTTATTTATTTATTTATGTATTTTTCAGTGAATGAATGAAACTGTGATTTAGGACTTTTTGTTTGTTTGTTTGTTTCTTGTTTTTAAGAGAACCTAAAGACAACTGGGGGTGGGATGAGAAATTGGCTGTGTAGAAGGGGAAAATCCCCTTCCTAAGATCAGTAGCCGATTGTGCACCAGCTGGTCGGAGGGAGAGGGTGGACCACGCCCCTAGGAGCTTTGAGCTCCGGTGGGATGGGAAAGACGAGCTGGGTATTACCTGTTGGAAACCAGGTCTTTGCTCTCTTTCCCTTGCTTCTTTCCTGGGATTGTCAGTGACCAGAGACAAGCGAACATCCTGGATAATAAGCATGGTGACTCACTTTCATCAGGAAGAGAGACACATCCGAGATTAGCAAGAATCCTAGTCCCCTCCTTCCCTCCCCCCGCTCAGGTTTTTCTTCCATTTCAAATTGCTCACTTATTTCTTGAAAGACATTTTAGAAACTTGATTGGGGTGAGGGTGAAGAGGCATGGTGAGTGCTTTATTCCGCAGCAACCTACAGTTCAGTGGCATTCTCTAAAAGAAGCTTTCAAACATTTGTTGGAACATATTTGAGTGATTTTGTTGAAGGTTAGAAAGAAAAATGGGTGTGGGATATGGGTGAGTGCGTGTGTGCGCGTGCCCGTGGTGGTGGGGTGGGGGAGGGAGGTGATGGCAGTCTTGGTAGGAGAGGCCCTTTGCAGATTCACTGCCTTAGGGGTGGGGTGCAAGAGATCAAATTTAGGTATTATTCCCATGCAGGTATTGGAAACTGGACAATTTGTAATACACCGTCTGAATCCAAAGCGGGTGGAGGAGATAGCTTGCCAGGCTTGCACATTTAGCCAGCACCGTGGAAGGTGGAAGGAGGGGTGGGGAGTGAGGATGAAGGAGAAGGAAGAGGAAGGGGAAGGGAGACAGAAGCAGAATGTCAGGACATTGGGTGGAGAGGCATAAATAAATGAGTAGATAGTAACAGGCATCCTGGATTGTATGGGGATGTTGGGGAGGAAAAGTCAGCTATTAGGGGGAGGCGGGGGTGGTATTTAGAGCATTTCCCCAAACTGCTTCATGGTTCCAGAGATTAATGCTTCCACTGGATCGTTTTTCAAACTAGGACATTTCATCTTCTTGTCTTGTTTCATTTTAATATATAAATGTAATAAACACAGGTGTCTGGGTTAAGGACACTGTCAAAGAAAGGTCCTGAGGTTACCCCACTGGTGAGCTGGAGAAGTAAAATTTGGGAAGGCGGAGCCCTAAAAAAGCCAATGCAATCATTAAAAAGCTTTAAATTTGGAAAGAAAAATAATGCTGGTTTACATCTTGTTCCCATCCTATGTATACATGCAAGTGTACATACAACTCCTTTGATAAAGGCAAGGCAACCAAGCTTGAGTTCTAGAAAGAGAATAGGTTTAAAGGAATTCCCTTTCCAAAATGTGGACAGCTGCCTTCACTTGGGCTCTATCTCACCGACAGACTCAAGCATTAACTCTGATATGCAAAGTGATGAAGCTGAAATTGTGTGTTCAGGGAGTTGAAGAAATTTGCATGCAAATGCATATAGCATCTGTATACTACATAGGCAACAGTCATGCATGTACTCTATATGGTTTCCACATGCCTTCCTGTGTTTTAGCATCATTCATATTCAAGATAAAAAATGAAAGGTATAAAGATTGTTCTATTTTGCCCTTACATTTTATAAATGTGTATTTATGTATGAAATGGTGATGTCTCCTATATACCACTGCTGTGTATCATTCACATTAGTCAGTGTTTAGGATACCATTCAATCAGACTGAAGGAAATGGTGTATTCAGGGCGTGGGCTTACACTACACTGACTGGCATTTATATAGTGTGAGTACTTAAGTCTCACACAGATTTCCTGCTTGTGGGTGAAATGATCCTATATCATTCATGGCAGAATCCAATAGTGTCCATCCTTCTTCTGGCATCTATTCATCATCCTAGTCCTTAACAGGGAATCAAACAAGGGCAAAAATCTGCAAAGGTCTAAACTCTGCCACACCCATGAAATCCAGCAGAAACGTGGGAGGGGGCTGAAGGGCTTGTACTTCCTTCCTCTTCCACTTGAGCAGTATAAAGAAGCAATGCTGGATTTCTGAGTTGTAATACATTGCCAGTGTGTGAGAAGAAAGTGTAAATGATCTATATTAGCCATTAGATACCATTATAGATTATTATAGCAGGAAGAAGAGAATGTGAATGGGTGGAGATGAGAAGACGGTAAAAGAGTGGGCAAAGGAGGAGTAAAATAAAAGAATCCCTGAGATTTTATTGGCTTATGATTTCCAAGTATCTTGGAGCTTACTTTAATTAGCTTAATTACCATGCACATTGCTGATGATTAGAAACTTGCAAGGTGTGATCTATGTCCACAAAGCAAGAAAACTGTGAGGTGTTTCCTTTGTTAAAAATAATGACTTTAGTTTGTAATTGAAGTATAAGGAATACCATACAAGCAAGAAGTCCCCCAACCTCACCAACATCTGCCTTCTTCCCCATATGACGAAAAATTCTTATCATTGAGAGTGTGATGTATGGTCTAGAATTCCAAACTCGCTGTGCCTTTCCCTTTCAGCATTGGGAAGGTGTGGAAGGATTCTGCCTTGCTGCTTGGTGCAGGCGATTCTTCCTACTGATAAACTGGATTCCTCTTAAATCTCCCTGAGCCACACCCAGTGTCACCCAGGGACTTAGTGCATTAATTAAATGAAGGCATTCTACTTAATATAATTGAAGCTGCTCAGTTTTCTTTTTAATAGTGATTTCCACCACACATTTCCACATTTAAACAGAATACTAAAGGGCTTTTTTTCTGCCAAATTATCTGGACTTGCAGAGAACCTTATAAAATTCATGGTGAATCTAGAATATGTGTTCATTTCTGGTGACTATAATTTCTTCTAAACCATGCCAGGGTATATACACAGTGAGCCCTGATCTCTCTCATGCTGACAGAGTCTGTATAACTCTAATCCCCTCCCCCAACCCCCACCCCATGCTGAGGCAACTGGAATAAGAAAATGCAGGGTTAATTTTCTTTCTCGCTGAGCTGGCAAAACTACAGGAATATTCTTTGATGTTTCATGCTAAAGGGCAGTGCTCCTGCTCACAGACAGGGAGAGTGGTTTAGGGTCTCCTTTGCCTCCCTCATAGTGAAATTGTCACTGGTATGCCTGAGGCCAAATTAATCCAGATTTAAAGAGCTTTACCTGGCCTCATAAAAAAAGGAGGTGGGGACTCTTTCAGGCAATAATAGAGCATGCATATTAACCAAATATTCCCCTTGTTCATATTGATAAAGTAAGACAAGTCTCGATTTTCCTCTATTAATAGTTCAAAGAATACACATAACCAGGTCATCTCAAGAGAAGCAAGCAGTGTCTGTTGTAAACCATAAAAGTGATTGTGCACAGGAATCTTCCCTTTTGAATTTCTGAAATGTGGTCAGATAGACTCTGCACCATTATAATTAAACCTTCATAACATTCTCTAAAGTGCTAGGAAGAGCTCTGTGCTGTGAGGTCTTAGTGGATTCCACGTACTGATTCTGAGATCTTGAATAAATCAACTCATCGTGGCCTTCTGTTTCCTCCTGTGGAATGGGGACTAAAAAACAAATTTAAAAAACCCTCACAAACAAACAAATAAACCAAAAAACAAAAGCAAACCAAAAAACCCTGCCCTGCTTACCTTAAAAGATTTTTGTGGAGATTAAGCATAATTGATGTGGAAATGAAGATTAATAGAAATGCAAGAAAATTTTTCTCTCCAAGTTTTGCCATGTGAGGCTTGACTTAGAATCACCAGTTCTTCAGGACTGTCAAGAGCCTACTGTGTCTGCCCTTTGCTGTTAGAGGTTAGTTCCTTCTGGTCGTCATTGAGCCCTCTGCTCTTGCTCCTTCCCCTGTGGTTTCTGCAGAACCTGACTCCCTCATGCCCTACTCTCTCTTGAGATTTCATCTTCTAGTGCTGCATCGACTCTGTTCCTCACAACCTATGAATATGCTGTTATCTCGTCCATCTTAAAGGGTCGCCTCTTGACTCTGTGTCCCATCTCTGCAGTGCTCTGTCTCAGCTCCTGCAGAACAAAGGCCCTAACATGCTCTTCACACTCCCTTTCTCCTCTTCATCACTCCCCATTTACTGTTCCATTTACTTAGGCTTCTGTTCCCATAATTCCACTGAAACATATTGTAAAGGGCACCACATCCAGGGATCCTTCCATCTACATCTTATTCGATTTCTCTCTGGCATTTTGTATTGTCCATCCCTCTTCCTGAAACTCTCTCCTCACTGGGTTCCCATGATATCTCTCCTTGTCTTCTCTCTGTCAGACAGGACCTTCTGAGTTTCCTTTGCTGGCTTCTTTCACTCTCTTCCCCCTAAAATGTCAATAAATGTTTGG